TCATCGATAGCTTCAACATTTTCAAATTGAGCGTTTCCATTTGTATGAGATCCATCAGGAGTATCTTCTCGAGATCGCCGAGGAGAGCTTTGTGAAGAAGGGACCGGGGTGTGATTATCCTGAAGATTTCCCTGAAGTTGTTGGTTTCCTTGAATGTTGTCATTATTGTTCGACATGGTTGATGCAACAAGGAAAGTTATACTAAAAAAGAATAGATTATCAGATTCCCGGTAACAGAACCAATTTGTTTAACCAAAAAGTGAAATTTCGGTCAAAGCTTTAATTTAGAAGAACTCGAGTTACTGATAATCAAAAAATGTATAAGAGAAAGTAATTTGGCTAGCAATAAGATAATTAGAAGAAGATAAAGTAAACCAATGTATTCAGATAGTCTTTTTTTGTTGTCCTTACAATTGACCCATCATTTCCCTTTTATAGTTATCTTGGAAATATGAGTTTTGCCTCTGTCATAATAAGGTCATTATAGACAATTAAAGATATTAAATGCTACGTTACATAATCATTGTATTTTAATACAGATTCTCTAACGTTTTTAGTATTTAATGCTCATTAAATACTGTATATGTACTCTCTTGTGCTGTCGAATTCATTCTCCTTGATTCTTGGACTTAAATAGGTACGGGCGTTGAATCTTTTGAGTATCCGCTCATGCCTCCTCTTTTGCCTCTGCTCGTATCTATTGCAACTCGTGCATCTTTGCCAATCATAACTCTTTAACCAGTCTACGTGTCTTGACACGTCATCTTCCAATCACTTTAATATGTAAACTCAATTTTTCCCAATACATTAATCAATTCCAGAATCCCAATCATGTTGCAAATTCTTGTAGCTACAACAATATATCAAAAGGTTAACAGTGTCTACAAAGTGAATGAAAATGATAAGTGACTTCAGAAGATCTCAGAACACTATTTGATATATTAATATTATTAATCTTTAAATATTTAGAAAATATTTTTCATTCATCAACGCAACACCAAAAAATATTTTTCATAGAAAACATTTCCATGAAATACATGGTCATAAAAATAACTTTGTCTCTACTAAATACATTCTAAAAATAAGTTTATTTTCTTCTTCCTCTCCCTTTAAATATTCTTACTTTGTCATGGCCTTCACTTTTGACGTGACTAAATAATTAGAATAGTCAGCAAATCTTTCACAATTATACTAAGTTTTTGCCAAGGATATATGTTCTGGGTAATCAAAATTGTGGAATTGTTGTAACTATGTCCGATCCCAAAGACAAAAAGTTTATGCAAACTCTTTGACTATTTTTGTGCAGCTCTTATCTTGTGTATTTCTTTTTTCCATCAATTGCTTGTCTATTGCGTTTATCAAGTCCACCAGCACTTCTTCTACTCAATTTTCTGGATATTAGAGCTAGATTAATTAAGTTCGAAACTTCATCTAAATGCCATTTAATTTGTTATTGCATGATATTGTTTTTTCATTTCGCTTTTAAGTAAACAATTATTAAACATATTGGTGAGTTGGTAACACGTAGTAATGAAAGCCATGCTCGGATTTATGATATATAAATAAATATCACATACTTGTATTGATCATGACAATTTCTAAATTACAAATACTTGGAGGAAGTTGACTATTTTGGCCTTGATCATGACAATAATTTCAAACAAATAAAATTAAAAAATCGGCTGACTGTCTATTTTAACTGTTGTTATACACTAAGAGAATTTCCTTCGTCTTTGATAAACATAGAACCACCCAATTAGAAGCCAAACAATAGTACTCTATTATTTTGTCCTAAAACGCTTTTTACTTTTTTTGGCTTCTTAAGCGTCAAACTAACTGAACTACGATTAGCATTGTTAAAATGTTTTCTTTTGCGCTTTGTAGATAAAGGAAATTGCATTCCATACCACTTTTATAGTTTTTGGGCATCTCAATCTTTTTTTTTTTCTTTTGCTAAATAAAGAACTAGTGAAAAGAGGACGAATAGGGAGCATTATAAGTTGGTTAAGAAAGAGGCAAAGCTAGCAGTTACGGCGGTCAAGACTGCAGCTTTTAGTCGTTTGTATGAGGAATTTGAGGGCCGAGGTGGGGATACAAGATTGTTCAGGTTAGCCAAGGCGCGATAAAGGAAGGCGTGTGACCGGACCAAGTGAAATGCATCAAGGATGAAGAAGGTAGAATTTTGTTAGATGAGGGCTTATTCGTCGGAGATGGCATACCTATTTTCATAGTTTCTTGAACGAGGAGGGGGACATGAGCATTATACTGGGTGATTTGGAACTCTCCGGTAGTCGTTGTGACTTTGGGTATTGTAGGCATATTAGAGTTGATGAAGTTGAGGGGGCTATGCGTAAGATAAGCAGGGGCAAAGCGACCACGCCAGATGAAATCACGATGGAGTTTTGGAAGAGTGCGGGCGAGACAAGCTTGGAGTGGCTCACTAGGTTATTTAATGTCATTTTTAGAACGAAGAAGATGCGCGAAGAGTGGAGGTGGAGCACGATGGTTCCTGTATACAAGAACAAGGGTGATATCCAAAATTGCAATAATTATCGGGGTATCAAGCTGCTTAGCCATACTATGAAAGTTTGGGAGAGAGTGGTAGAGCTAAGGGTGAGAAGGAGTGTGTCTATTTTCGAGAACCAGTTTGGATTTATACCGGGGCATTCGTCCACAGAATCCATCCACCTTGTTAGGAGATTAATGGAGCAATATAGAGAGAGAAAGAAGGACTTGCATATGGTGTTCATCGACTTAGAAAAGGCGTACGATAAAGTCCCGAAGGAGGTTTTGTAGAGATGTTTGGAGGCTAGAGGTGTACCTATTGCCTATGTTAGGTTGATTAAGGACATGTATGATGGAGTAAAGACCCGAGTGAGGACAGTGGGTGGGGACTCGGACCATTTTTCGGTTATGATGGGGTTGCATCAGGGGTCGGCACTCAGGCCTTTTTTGTTTGTTCTGGTAATGGACGTACTGACACGCCACATCCAAGGGGAGGTGTTGTGGTGCATGCTATTTGCAGATGATATTGTATTGATTGACGAGACGCAAGACGGTGTGAACGCGCAATTAGAGGTATGGAGGCAGACTCAGTAATCTAAAGGTTTCAAGTTGAGCAGGACCAAGACAGAATACTTGGAGTGTAAGTTCAGTAGCGAGAATCAGGAGGGGAAGGGAAGGTGAGGCTGGACTCGTAGGTCATCTCTAGGAGAGGGGGTTTTAAGTACCTTGGGTCTATTATTCAGGGGGATGAGGAGATTAATGAAGATGTCGCACATCGTATTAGGGCGGGATGGATGGAATTGAGACTCGCTTCGATATTTTGTGTGATAAGAAGGTGCCACCGAAACTTAAAGGTAAGTTCTACCGAGTGGTGGTCAGACCAACGATGTTATATGGGGTTGAGTGTTGGCCAGTCAAGATCGCTCATGTCCAGAAGATGAAGCTAGTAGGGATGAGAATGCTGAGATGGATGTGCAGTCACACCAGGTTAGATATGATAAAAAATGAGGTTATTCGCGACAAGATGGGTGTGGCCGCTATTGAGGACAAGATGCAAGAAGCGCGACTTAGATGGTTTGGTCATGTAAGGAGGAGGAGCATATACGCCCCGGTGAGGAGGTGTGAGAGGTTGACATTAGAAAGCCTACAGAGAGGTAGAGGTAGGCCAAACACTACTAAAAAATGGCCCATTTCCGACCGAAATTTCCGACAGAAAATTGTAGTCGGAAATTTCCGACGGAATCGGTCGGAATATGCATAAAAATATAATTTTCAATTTTTAATAATACTTACGACTAAGATTCCGTCTATGTCCGTCGTAAATTTTGGCGGAAAATTCCGCGCCACTTGTAGCGACCAATTCGGTCGGAAACAATGAAAAAAATGAAATAAAAAAAAATAGTGACCGATTCGGTCGGAAATGTTTAGTAAAAGTTGACTACTTTTGACCAAATTACCGACCGAATCGGTCGGAGAGTTTTTTAAAAAACTCTTAGCGGCTTCCTTTCTTTTCCTTTTCCTCTTTTCTTCCTTCTCTCTTCTCTTTCTCTCACTTAAACTTCCCCCACCTAAANCCATTTGTTAAAACAAAAGAGTTAAGGCATGAAATTATACTGACGATGGTTCTGTGAGTATTATCATTGTTGAACTTGTTAATAGGTTTCTTTGTTTTGTGTGATAAAGTGTACTTTTTGATATTATATATTTCAGTTGTTAAAATAATGTATTTTTTTTTTAAAAAAATTCAGTAAATAAATGAGAAGTGTTCTTTGGAATTATAGTTCCATACCTGGGGATTGCTGAAGTCGGTGCATAGATTTACTAAAAGAAGGCTGCCATAGTTCATCAAGTTCCTTTTATTTCCATATTTTTCCGGTAAATAGTTTGATGTCATAGTTTCTCTAGCAATTTTATATCTTGCCATCAGGAATTCCAAAGAAAGAAAAAAAGAGTCAGCAAAATGCGTCAACTAGGACAAGCCAAGCCATCACCCTTAATTTTAATTTAATTGATTTGGTCCCTTTTGGGAAACAGAGATTCTTGTTGAAATTTCTAGGTAATCAAACCTTTATCACCTGGAGCTTTGCAGCTAGTTCAATTCTTATTAGGCTGTAGCTAGAGAAATTTGACCCAAGTCTTTCTTCCAAGTCATCTTTATCATCCTTATTTTCCTTTTTTCTTGTTTCTTTTTTCCCCTTCTGCCAAGCCCCTAATCTCTTACCAATTCACATACTGACATTCATTATGTAATAGGAGTATTACTTGCAGTCTTTTTGGCTAGTTTGACTCGATACATAATTTAAAATAAAAAAAATTTGAAATCTGTGATTGTAAAGGCTTAAGGGATAAAAAAATTATAGGGTCATAAAATTTGTGTGACTACAAAATTTTTTTATTTAGGCTAAAATATGTAAAATAAAAAATTTAAAATTAAATTATTTTTAAATATAAAAATATTTTTTTAGTGAACTAATAAGAAAAGTGTATTATATAAATTGAAACGGCGGGAGTAACTTTTTCACATTACTCATTGTTAAGCTCGAAACACAAAGAGACCAAATTTGTCTCCTCTTCAATATTCTTTTATACTTATCTTAATTTTTTTCTCGGGAGAAATGGGTATGAGAAAAGACAAATGAATTATGCCAAGTTGGGCTTATTTCATTATTATCACTATTATTCCATAAGTACAAACCCTCACATCAAATATATAGCAAACACATATCACTTGGAGAGAAGAACCCTCCATCCAAACATCTATATATCTATATAAAGTTAGGAATAGGAAAGATGATGTGGCATCTTTCATAGCTCAAAAAAGTCCTCCATTTTTTTTCTAATTTTTTTTTGGCTTTTATCCATTACTTGATGTAAAAATCTATAGAATATTAAAATATCATATTTATGTCATCCTTATTATTGTCATTTATGGAAGGCTTAAATTGCATATTTATCTTCTTCCTTTTAGAGAGTGACTAAACAAATTCTACAATCAATTTGAAAATGAAAACGGTCAATCAATTAATTAAGGAAATTGAACGGGTTCTCCACCATTATCTTCACCGGACTTTCATGGTAGTCAAAATGGTGGCTCACCAGCTGTTGCACCCTCGGTTTTTTATGGTAGTCAACATACTGACTCACTAGTTGCTGCACCCCTGGGCTTTCATGGTAGTCAGCATACTGGCTCACCAGCTGCTGCACCCCCCAGCTTTCATGGTAGTCAGCATACTAGCTCACCAGCTGTTGCACCCCCGAGCTTTCATGGTAGTCAGCATGATGGTGCATCTTTTGTTGCTCCATCATCTTCCAGTCCATCATCATCATCCATTCCCAGCATATCTAGGTTGGATATTGGAGGCTCTCGCCCAGCTACATCTAGTGTTGCTTCTGCACCATCTCGTAGACGCAGACAGAATCTTGGAGGGGATGTACAATTTGATAGTTATAATCGATTGATAATTGTCCCCCACAAGGATGGGTAAGAAGGTTCTTATACAAATTCTTATGTTTTGAATGTACATTTAGATATGTTAACATTAAGGAGTATTTATATGAAATTAAAAGGTGTTTATTAATTATATATATGTTAATTTAATGCAGGTTTTTGCCATCCTTTCAAGCTACACATTTGATTACAGATTCTATGAAGCCATTTTATCATGAGTCGTGGACTTCTTGGAGAAAGATACCGTACAGCATTAGAGAGCAAATGTGGAATCAATTTAGGGTAAAAATTAATTATATTTATTTAATAATTATCGTCTTCATCTAATGTTACTTTTTTATATTGTAGACAAGGTGTACATGGCATCCTTAGCATCAAAATGCAATAAATAGTATTTTCGAGAAGAAAGCTGCTACAAGGATTAAAGATACTATGTGCGCTACTCGGAATTCCGGTAATATGCCGGAGTGGTTAAGAGAAGATGTTTGGGATAAACTTCTTGAGAAATGGAATACTCCATAATGGAAGGCAAAGAGTGAACAAGCAAAGGCAAACTGTGCCTCTAAAAAAGGTGGCTCGTTGCACACATGAGGTTCGATTACTTTTGAGGCCCATAAACTAAGAATGGTAATTTTTTATAAAAAATTTCTTAGTTTTACATATAAAATTTTACGTTTGTAAAGTCTAACTCATACTTTTTCTTATGAAGGAAAAGGAAAGAGGGCGAGATGTGAGTTACGCTGAGGTTTTCGAGGAGTTGCATAAGAAAAAGAAAAAGGATGGTACAAGAGAACACTGGGTGGAAACGCGTGCGTCAGACACATATGTAAAATTCTAACTTCATAATTATTATGGTTCATTAATATTAGTTTGTTTACATAATAGTTATGTTTTTCATTTCAGGAAGATTATCATAAAAGGTTGGAAGAATGGCAACAAACTCAGCCTCCTTCAACTCAACCAACACCTGATGATATGGCTTCATTGTGGACAGAGGCAGCGGGTGGAGCAAACACAGGCAGAGTCTACGGACTAGGAATACATAGACTTACAGGTCATCCAAACTCACTCTTAGCCAATTCTTCTTCTCCTCAAAATCAAGAACAGATGGAAGATATGAGAAACGAAATTCGTGAATTGAAGCAACAATTGGACTCCCAATACGGAACATTTGTTAAGATGCAGAAATTCATGCATAAACATTGGCATGATTTATCTGATAATGAGGATGAATAAACTGAATCTGATGTGTAGCAGTTTAGTTGTGATGTTTTGGTTGATTGGTGAACTTGATTGTGAGAGACAACTTTATGTATTGCTTTTAAACTTGAATATGGGCTGCTATTTGGATGTTTTTATGCCCAAAATTGTTAGGTTTAAATGTTGGTTTAAGTTGTGTTAATGGTTGGCATTGTTGGTTTAGAATTTGTTAATGTATTGTTAATTTAGATAGTGTTAATGTATTGTTGGTTCGTATTATTTTATTATTATATTAATGTATCGTTGGTTTAGATTGTTGATTGGTATTTTTTGGTTTGTGATAGTTTGACATGTGGGGTAGCTCGAAATTGGGCAGAATTTTGCCTAGTTTTGTACAAAATTCCGACTAAAACGGTCGGAAAGCTCCCCAGATTTAACAATAAATTGTCAGATTTCTGACTGAATCAGTCGGAATTTTTTTATAAAAAAATTAATCTTCAGAACTTTTCGACGGATTCCGTCGGAAATTAAATAAAATTTAATTTTTAATTATTAATTTCCGACATATTCGGTCGGAAATTTCAAAAAAAAAATATTTAATATTCAACAGTTTTCGACAGATTCCGTCGGAAAATAAATAAAATTTAATTTTTAATTATTAATTTTCCTTGTATTATTACGACCGATTCAGTTGGTAAATTCCGACCACTTTAGTCGGAAAGGTGAATTATTTGGTAGTTTGACCTTTTCGAAATTTGCGACCACTTTGGTAGGAAATCACCGACAGATTCGGTCGGAAATTGTTTTCCGACCAACTTTTTTCCGACCGACCAAATTCGGTCGGAAAGTAGTCGGAAATACGTGATTTCCGACCGAATTTCGACCATTTTGGCCGTCGGAAATCTACCATTTTCTAGTAGTGAAAGAAGAGGTGGGAAGAGGTGATTAGGCAAGACATGAAGCAACTTTAGCTGACCAAGGACATGACCCTTGATAGGAAGGTATGGAGGTCGAGGATTAGTGTAGTAGAGTAGGTAGTCTAGAGTGTTCATAATAGTAGTATTGACACGCAGTCTTGCTTTCTGTTGGTAGTAGATTTTTATGACTAACCGTTATTTTCTTTTATTGTTGATCACATTACTGTCTTGTTGTTTTTATTCTACTTTTATATGGTTTTTGGGTAATGTTCCTTCTTGTCTATATTTTTATTAATGTGGTACTTATGCTTTCCTGAGCCGAGGATCTATTGGAAACAACATCTCTATCATCACAAGGTAGGGGTAAGGTCTGCGTACACACTATCTTTTGAGTACACACTACCCTCCCCAAGATTCAACGGCAGTGGCATGAAAATAACAATTTTTTAACGAATGACATGAATAGACTATTTCTGAAAGTTGAATGGCATTTTTAGGCCTTTTCCGTTTAATCAATCAAGTTTCGGGGTACCCCGGACTAATTCCCTCTTTTCCGAAGATCAAATGCCTTTTTTCATTGTAAAAATAAAAATAAAAAAATTGCACGGTAAGTAGGGCGTTTTGGTAATTGAGCGTCCAGAGTGGGCCTCCAAAAATTGAAAATCCGGTATTCTCCTAAGCTCCTTTCGCGCTACATATGAAAAGACACGTCCTGCTTGACGCCTTCTATATTTCTCCTTCCTTCGTGAAAGTCACCTTCAAAACCCTCAAAGACATTTTCAATAGGTACATTCTTGTATGGAAAAACAGAATGTACCTATAATTCCCTATGAATTTTGCCTCAGAAACTTCGAATTTTGAGTATTCATTGAAACAAATGGAAGAAATGGAGGATTTCAGTGTAGAATGTTTGGACGTATATCCGGAAATTGACTGGGAATACGAGTTTGACGCGGCATGGTTTTATGATTTTTGTCGTCCGGAATCACCTTCTGAGGCTGCAGAAGCCGAACGCTGGTTCCAAACAGCCGGAAACTATCCTCCATCTCGTAAGTCTTAGATGAAGGAATTAATATCTGATTGTCTGTTCTCTTCTTTTGTTGGTTGATTGAGCGTGCAAAAGTTCCCCACTTTTACTTTTCTTCCTTCATTTTTTTTCCTATGTGACATAAGGGCAGTGGCGAAGCTAGGAATTTTCCCAAATTCAAATTTAAAAAAAGTGAAAAAAAAATTCCGACAAAGGGTGTTCGATATTATGTTATACTTCTAAAATGTAATATTTTATCTATATAAACAGTGTAAGTTTTCGATCAAGGGGCATGTCTTGCTTCTTTGTGTTGAAAATATAATTAAGTAACAACTTAAGTTTTTTTGATGAGAGGGTCACACAATTCAATATGGTATCAAAATAGGGTGCCAGTCATTATCAAAAAGAATTTTCACATCCTTGGCACATGAAAAGATAATAATCATGTCCATATGGTGCAAGTGAAGGGGCGCGTTGAAGATATAATTAAGTAAATAAATGACTGTTCTTCCTATCCTAAGCTTTCAGTTGAGATGGTCATGTTTAAGAAGTAACACGTTTCTTATGGAACCCTATATTCCTGTACTAATACGAGCACTTCATCCATGGGATATTAAAAAAAAAAAAAAAAAAAAAAA